CCCCAAAACCCCAAAACCCCAAAACCCCTGCCCAGAGGAATATAATAGAAGATACAGGAGAAATAATATTTAGAAATGGAGAAGAATAATAGGAACAATTTGAGACTGCTTAATGACCTTTGTGCTCAGATTAGGAAGAGTGAGGGTTCTGGATTCGAGAATCATGCTTTGAAGTGTAAGGATTACCTTAGAGAACTTGAAGAGTTGATCAGAACTCTTAGAAGATTTGTGGAATATAGTTTAGAGAAAGGCGAAAGGGATCAGATGAAGATTAACAAATTAACCGAGCTGGTTCTAATACTTGTAGGAGCTCTTGATGTAGATGGTGATAACAGTAAAAGCCAAGGGTCGTTTCTTAAAACACCTTTGATGAGTGACTTAAATACTATTTTGAAAGATACAGCTGGAGATGGTTCTGAGGAACATAAAGAGACTGTTGATGATACTCAAGATGATGTTACCTCTGACATTCTTAAAATTTATGATAAGCATTTTGACAGAAGTTTACCCTTGAAGCAATCCGAAGACAAATTGACTAATCTCCTTGAACGGGGTTGACCAAAAAAGAAAATATCGTCCTCTCTAGAAGTTCAGCCTCTAAGTTGTAAAGACCAAAAATTTGATGAAGACAAAATAGGAGAAGAAATTAAAATTTCAAACTGTTTTGAAGAAGATAAAACTTCTGAAATAGGCAACAGATCAAATTCTCAATTAGAAACTTCTAATGCTTATAGAGAGGCAAATAGAAGTCAGAATGCCCAAGACTCTCAGCCTAAAGAGTCTCTTAACGAGGCTGGTCTTTCTGCTCAGCCGATCCCAAAGTACTTAATTAAAATTAATGATGAATCAGAAGATACCTTCTCAGTACAAAATGTAAATGAAAGCATAGTGAAGCATTCTGGGAGGGTAGACAAAGAGCGGAAATGAAATACCAGTATGAATGATGAAAATGAAGAATTAGATATACTTGAGGTACCTAGAGGCCAAGACCTAAACAAGACTTTTGATTTAGCTGATAACCATGAAACTTATTGTTACGAAACTAATAAAGATACGCTACAAATTTCTTCGAAAGGTGTATCTAAAAGTGTTGTACCTTGCAATGATCCATCTGTAAATGAAGAAGAAGAGAAGCTTTCTGTAGAGAAGCCTCTTCAGGAAGAAACTAAGTTAAATTGTTCCCATATAAGATCTGAGAATAAAAATAATTCAGAAATGGTTGTTTCTATTCTGATGTTATTATCAATTCCTGAGCTTGAGGAGTACTTAGCTCGATTAAAACCACCGAGAGGTAGGAGCAAAAAGTTTTGGCTTCAGACTAGGAAGTGCTTAAAAAAGATGCATCATCTGGTGATCAAAGACTTCAAAAATAACATTAAATCATCCGAACTGAGTACTTTGAGCTATCGGCCAGGCGAAAATTCTGATTATAAAGAGCTCGATAAAGTAGCACAATATATATTGTATTTACTTGAGAACCTCAAGCGAGAACTAAATAACTCTGACGAGAATTCTGCTCCCTCACTACGTAGTGGCAATAATAAATCTTCGAAGAAGGACTCCAATAGAAATAGCACTATTATTGAAGAACTCTTTGGGGGAATTTATGAGATAACCACTTCTTGTAAAAATTGTTCTAAAGAAGGTAAAGAGACCGAACTGTTTATTAGTATCGCTCTTTCAAGAGAAGATGGTAAAAATGCATCTAGCTTTAGAAAATGTATTGAAAAATCTATGGAAGAAAGTTCACTAATCACAGATTGAAATAAATGAGGAGCCACTGGTCTCTGAACAGTATCTAAGAGATGAGTGAAGGTTCCACGTTATCTTATACTTTCAGCCAACCAGAAAAATTGAGCTGAAGAAGAGAAGCTCGAAGATGCTTTTAGCTATCCTAGGCAATTTTACCTGAATTTTCCAGCCATGAGAAGGATCGAGTATGGTTTTAAAAGTGTAATTTCCCCATCCGCTGACCAGAAGCCTAATAATTATTCTCTTTATTGCAAAAATGGCAACGATTGGAAGTACTTTGATGGTCAAAAGATTAAAGAGGCAAGCATGAAGCAGGCTCTCAACAAAGATCCAGTTTTGTTGATGTATGAACTCGGCACTAAATCTACAACTTAATTCTAAAATTTGTTTCACCAAATCCCTTCTATAAGCATTTATAATTTTTTGAGAATTCATCATGAATTTTACTCTATGGGGTTTTGGGGTTTTGGGGTTTTGGGGTTTTGGGGTTTTGGGGTTTTGGGGTTTTGGGG